TTAATTTGAAAAAAATGTTTTTCAGTGGTTTGTTTCTTGGGCTAGCTTTTAAGCTCTGTGAGAGCAGGAACTGTAAGGAACAGGAGAGGAGACAGTCAGAGTCAGACAGGAATCACAGAATGCGTGTGGAAGTGGTGAATGCATGGCAGTTACCAGCACACCTACCACAGAGAGCACCTTCCATTACACACTAGTGGCTTAGGCGGCACAAAGCAGTGGGAAGGGCTTGGAAGTCTTGGGCTGAGGCTGGGCTGCTGAGAGAATGGGGAGACCTTGGGAAGGAGTGATTTGTGCTGGGATGTGTAGTGGCTTGGCAAGGGGCAGGGCATACGGTTGGGAGAGCCTAGGTTTATGGCTGGACTCTCAAGACAGTGGTGTGTCCAGCGGTCAAGGTCAGGCAGAGCTGATAAAGGAGGGGTGGGGTTGAGCCAACCAGGCAGGACTGGGCCAACTCAAGAACACAGGGAAATGGAACACCTGCTTGTAATCACACTTTAGAGGCCGAAATGGATCTAAGGCTTTTAAGCCACACCCACCTTATTCACCCACCACATTCCCAATACTTCAAAGAGAACTCAGCACACAGTAGGAACACTGCCAGTATCTTGTCAATGGATGTGTTATTAAATGGCTTGCTTCAAAACTTCTTCCTGTGCCATGATACTCAGAGGGCGGAACAGTGAATTTAATCTCATTAACATGAAAGTTGGATACAAATAAAAAGCCTTACAAGGAGTAGGGAGTCAATCTTATCAGAAAGTATTGACAAAACTCTAGGAACATTGCTCAGGAACCACGCTCTTGCTGGGGTTTTATGCAATGTAACCAGATGAAACACCTAAAAGAAAACCCTCCAAGGCATTTACACGCTGAAAGAAGGTAAGAGTCCACTAGGAATTCCACTAGCAGTGGAAAATATTCCTGTACAATAAACATGAATTGAAGGTATTTCGGGGAAAAGCAAAAATTAAGAGATTTCATCACCAGCAACCCTCCCCTGTAAAAGAAGTAATTAAAACAAATGACCTCAGTGACAAGTTATAGGAATAAGGTAGAGAGCGAAAGGTGGCCCAAGGTGACTATAAAGTTTAAGTGAACGCTGACGCTGTAAAACAAATACGATGTCTTATGAGCTTTAACATAACTGGGGATTAAAATTTATGATATCGGGCCCGGCGCGGTGGCGCAAGTGGTTAAGGTCCTCGCCTTGCACACCCGGGATCCCATATGGGCGCCGGTTCTATCCCGGCAGTCCCACTTCGCTTCCAGCTCCCTGCCTGTGGCCTGGGAAAGCAGTCGAGGACGGCCCAAGGCTTTGGGACCCTGCACCCGCGTGGGAGACCCGGAAGAGCTCCTGGCTTCGGGTCGGCATAGCATCGGCCGTTGTGCTCACTTAGGGAGTGAATCATCGGACAGAAGACCTTCCTCTGTCTCTCCTCTCTGTATATCCGCCTTTCCAATAAAAACATAATAAAAATAAATCTTTAAAAAATTTATGATATCTATAGTACATAAGTCAAGAGCAAGGACAATGATATCTAAAGGTCCAAATGTCCTTACAATATGTAGGAAGGGAGCAAAAGTGTCAAGTCATGTTGGACTTACTGAGTTCCTCTGGTAATCATTAAAAGGGCTGAAAAGAATGTGTAAGTATCAAGATAATGAGGGCTGTGAGTGGCAGACAGGACAACAAAAAATATTAATTATAAAGAAGTCAAGAAACAAGAAGTAAAGTGACAAGAGTATGAAAGACTAATGGAAGATACATAGTAAGATGATAAATTTAAACAAAATATGCCAGGGTGGGTGTCATGGCACAGTAGGTTAACCTACAGCCTATAACAGCTCATTCCTTGTGTGAGCTGATTGGAGTCCTGGCGTCTTTGCCTCTTTACCAGCTTTCTGCTAACGCTTTCTAGGAGGAATCAACTGCTCGGTCCCCTGCTATCCTTCTGGAAAACCCTGATGGAATTCTGGGCTCCTGGCTTTGGGCTGGCCTATCTTTTGTGGGCATCAACAGATGGAACATATTTGTCTCTTTCTCTTTTTGCTTTTCAAGTAGATGAAAGTAAATTAAAAAAAAAAAAAACCAGACTATGCCAATATTTAAATTAAATATAAATAAAATAATTTGCTTGATTAAAAGGTAAAGTTGCCATTTTGTATCTTTTAATAAGCATTTTATTTATATCAGTATGGACTTATGGATATTTCCTTAAATTTATATTTTGAACAATTTCTCCACATACATTATAGCCCATAACAAGCTAAAACAGACACAAAAACTCCTATAAAATCTGATATTTTATTTGATGACAAATGACATAGGGATCCAAAACAGGTTCCTACAGCAAATAGATGCATAAGTAAGAAACACAGCTTCAGGAATAGGGGAAGTGAAAATTTTGTTCTATTCTGGGCTCAGTCATTCAGGGGAGATGTGAGTAATTGGATAACATTCTAAGAAGAGCTATGCTACTAAGATTCCTAAAACTCTATTCAGTAACTGAGATCTGATCAACTAGGAAAAAATATTTCAGTGACAGGGAAAAAAAAAGATTTGGTCCAGCCTGCATTTCTAGTTGTCCCTTGGTTTTTTTTTTTTTTTTCCCAACTAAATGAGATAAATAGATATTTGCACCAGAAAAAGTGAAATACATTTCCCAAACACTCAAAGGGCATAACCAAACTTGTGCTACCAGCAAGGGCCCAGGGCCCCTGAAATTAAGTTTTGACCTGTACTACCCAGCTGCCCTGTCCCTATCTTGAACTTTGGATTCCCATGACACCTGCACAGTCTGTGCTTGGCAAATCGTCTTCTGTTTGGTCATCGCCATGCCACCCTCATCACAATGAAATAGCCTTCAACTGTTGCAATAGCGTAATGTTTTAAAAAGTTTGCCTTTTTCAAATGTAGCTGTGCCAGGAACTTAGTGCTGCTTAGAGAAGGTGAAGAGCTGAGAGAACTAGAGCTACACACCTTCCATGCTACTCCAAGCGGGAAAGGAAGACACGTGGCCAGAAACAGCTTAGTCTAGAGGGAATCTTTCCATCCTGACTGAAAGTTGAAGTGCCTCTTTCTGCAGTTGTTCTGGCAGTAGACAGCATGACCACTTGGTGGGGATCTTACAGAGAGAATTCTCAGTTTTAGCAGGAAGCTACTTCTGCAAATTTCCTTATAAACTCAAGAACTACTGGATCTAAGAAAGTGTCCATCATGGAAGCCCCAGCACTCTTTCTTCCTTGGACTGGGAAATCTTCTGCTTGGGTTAAGGTACGTTCATACTGTCTCCTGAAGATGCTTTCAGAAGACCTGACCTGTGGAAGGAGGAAGTGGCATGTGGACCCATCAGCGTCAAGGGCGAGAACGAGTCATTCCATTGGACTCCTTCCCCTTACTATGCTTGCAAAGAGCTGGGCAGAGGGGATGGTGGTCCAAGAAGGATGGCCTTTGGGTCAAATGACGTTGATAAGCAGGAAGCCAAAATGAGCTTAGGAGAGCACCTCTCAGGCAGGAGGTCCTCAGTGAAAACACTGGGAGCCTTCAGGGATCAGAGGGCAGGAAACTTGGCAATTCCATACGGTCCTGAATTGGTAAAAAGCACTCCTTTGCATGCCCATGTGTCACACTAGTCCCTGCTCTGGTGGCAGCCTCCTCTTGTGTGAGCATCCTGGGTCATTAGCTCAGCAATGTCAGGACTCAGGACCATGTTAATCCTGACTGCATGGGCACTCATCAGGTGCCCAGTGTAGGTTTTATCGCCAACATGAATGAAATACATGCAATGTGCCATGCACCTGGCCAGGCACTTGGTGGTCAATGGAGGGAAAATAACCACCAGTCAGGTGCCTGCTGTTAAAAAGTTCATGGTCTAGTGGAGGAGACAGAAGACAACGGTTCTTAAAATGAACAAATCAAATCCACATTTATTATTTGAGACCAGAGCAGTGAAAAGAATAAACAAGATGCTGCTAGCTTTTTGAAGTGCGGTGGTGAGGTGATGACATCTAAGCAGACATCTGAGGCCGAAGCTTAGAAGGACAGCACAAGAGACTGTCTGATTACAATGATAATCTCTTTGGTCTGAATGCTGGCAGTAGAGTGGCTGAGATCCCAAAGACAGTGCTTGACTACACTGCTGTGTGCTCTTGGACAAGTTCCTTGACCTCTCTGTGCTTATTTCCTTTCCTGTGACATGACTACAACAGACTCTCTGATAGCCCACATTCACCAAGATTGATGATCCTAACTGCCTTGTCCCCGTGCCCAGGGCAGAGCTTGAGACACAATAGTCTCTGAATAAAGAAGAGTCCCCACCTCAAGGAAGTACAGTAGACATTGGTCGTCCTCACTTACATTGTCACCGTTATCATCTGCCCTCGGGTAAGGCTGAGGCACCTCCCCGCCAGGAGTCACTTCCCTCCTCCCTCAAAGTCCAGCAGGGTTGGGTGAGCTCAGGGAGGCATTCACCTTCCAGGATCTTTCTTCCAAACGGCACAGATTGCCTGGCTTTGTGTACACACACACACACACACACACACACACACACACACACACACACACACACACACACACACACGAGACTTCTAAAGGAAAACGCAATCTTCCCCTGGGCTAGAGGTTTTGTTCTCTGCTCAGTTCCATTTCTGTCAATCATTATCCAGCTAGTCATCTCTGCACAGGTGGGACTGTTGTCTTGAAAATGTGCATGCTTGTCTGCGACTGGGAATGTGTGCGCGTTGGGTGTGCAGGGTACAAAGTGGGGAGGACCCAGTGGGAAGTGCCCTGGTATTTATGCTGAAGTGCAAGCAGCTGAACTACCCACTGGGAATGTGAGCTTGGAGGATGATGCTTAATCCAGGCTCACTCAGAAGGGGCTGGGGCTGTTCTCTTCCCTCCCTTCTTGCCTCTGCGCTCATATAACCCAGGCTGCCTGCTGTCAGCTTTTGCCCACTGCAGTCCCTGGCCCTGAGCACCGGCAGGTACAGAGCGGTGGAGAATGAGCGTTTTCTGCTGTTTGACGTCGTGGCTCTGCCTGGCTGCTGCCGCAGCGCTAGTGGCGACAGTTCTGAGCAAATACAAGAGGAGCCCGGAGCAGGTGGGGAACCAGGTAGTGTGCCTGGCCCTGGGCCTCTGGGCGGCTGTTTGCCTGGCCAGCCTGTCCCTCTTCTGGGGCTTCACACTCTTCTGCCTGTCATGTTTCCTCATGTACACTTACCTGTCTGAGCAAGTGTGGTTACCTGTGGGACAGAAGGCGGTCCTGGTGACAGGTAAGCAGGCTGGGTGTTGGGATCCTTGCTGAGTGAGGGTTGGGGCTGGAACTTGCTTTGCTTTTGTGGGATTTTGTCAGATTTGCCTTGGAAATGACACACTTGGAGTGGAGAAAAGGAAATCCTCTCCCCAAGCATATTTTTCACGGGGTGGCTTTGTTCCCTCCAGGAGCTATGTGGGAAGGGAGCTGGGCTGAGAGGCAAGGTGAGGGCAAAGTACTTAAAAGTAGTATTTTTCCCCCCAAGGACTAACTACCCATAAGCAAAACTAATGAGGGCAAAGTACTTAAAAGTAGTATTTTTTTTTCCCCCAAGGACTAACTACCCATAAGCAAAACTATGGTATTTTCATGTGTTTCTTTGTCCTGAATCTATCCTTAGGCTTAAATAGTTTTTTTTTTCTGCTGAGAGAAGGGCTTGGCTGGGTTCTAGATCTGAGCTCCTATGCCTTGGGTGGGCAAGAGATTTTGCAAAACCAGGCTCTCTGGATTCTGGCTGTGCTTCTGAAATCTCGAGGGAACCCACGTGAGCCAGAGTCTCTGTGTCCTGTCTGAACCCTTCCTCCACAGGTCTGTCATTAGACTGCTAATGTTTCATAATTGGATCAAGCTGGCAGTGTGTCCCACATCATCGAGTTGCTCATTAGTTGAGCTCTCACCTTGTCTTGCGTTTTATTTCATTGAAAGTGTGAGACCAAATTAAATTCCTTTGAGTTGTAAAACTGGTTTGTTTGGTTGTGAAGTTCCAGAGAGGATAGGGCTTTAATTAGGAATAATCCAGACCTTATCCTAACCCAGAAAATCCTGCCAAGATAATGAAAGGACATTACCTGCAGAGTGCCCTGCAAGGAGGTCACCCCTTATCACCACCCCTCCGACCGTTTCCCTGAGCCTCTGCCCTCACCTACTAGGGTGAAGGCTGGTATGAGGTGCAGCTTGGAATTTCCTAAGAAACGAGCTCTATAATGACTGTTTGCCACTTTGCATGTTACATTAACTTAATTGCAAAATTCTTCCTTGAATTCCAAGAAACGCTTGGAATGTTTAAGCACTGCAGAAAGCACTTCTTTAAGTTAAAGGAAGTTTGAAGGTAGAAAACAGCCCATGCCTGGGGCGCTTCCCTGCAGGCTTGTCTGCAATAGTCTATAATCATGGTAGCAGGCATGGTAGCGGGCTGGAATTCTGGTGTTGTTTTTCTGTTTTTTGTTTTTTGGGTTTTTTTTTTCCCCCTCTAGAATTCTCAAACAAGCTGAATGAGAACCTGTAATATAGCCTCAATCCTTCCATTCTGGGTACAGCAGTCAGCACCCACAGACTTCTGATTTCTTCTCTTTATTTTTCCATGTAAGTGAAAGAAGACAGAACAAATCAGAAAGCGATGACAATGCCAAGGCTGACACCAAAGGGATCTGCCAGAGGCCCAGCCGTTCCTGGGGAACTGTAGTTAGGCAGAGGCACTTCTAAGGCTGCGAAGGAGTACCTCAAACCTAAGGATAACCTCAGGCAAACCCCAAGGTCGCTGAGGAAACAGGGATTGCTCCTGCTGGTTCACCTGCCAGCATTCTTCATCCTCAGCTCTTAGAGGTGGTGTGTGTTCATGCTCACGACACACACACCAGTTCAGTGCAAGCAGCTCTGAAGAGCTGCAACTCTGCTGCCTGTCCGGAAGGCCTGGGGAAGCTTTGAAGACCTTTGCCCCACAAAGGAGGAAAATGCGGGTTTAGCTAGAGCAGAAAACACTGAATAGTGAGAAGTCACCTTGAGTTTGCAATAACTTGTGATGAAAGCTGGTCTGTGTTGTATTAAGTTTGTGCTTTAAACCCCGACAACATAGTCCTTAACACCATAATCTCAGACGTTGAAATCTGGCAAGGTCAAAACCCCTGAAGTATAAAATATGAAAAGATCAAAAGCTGGAAAAAATGACTTAAACAATCTTTTAAAAATGCCTATTTACATTTTTAAAGGGATATTTATTTATCTGGGAAACAGACAAAAACCTGACAGGACAGTTTGCAGGCCAGTTCATAGTGAGTAATAACTACATACACCCTTCTATAAGCATAAACGCTCAGATATTTTAAGGATAGTCACATGGGTGTATAAGCTCTGAGAAGATGAATTGTAATCATGAAGAGAGATACTGGTGAAAAAGCAGGATTTTTAAAAATGCTCATTACTGTTTGGCAATCTTGTCCATCCAGCTTTATGACTGTAGTCCTCTGAAGTACTGGGCTGGATGTTCTAATTCATTTGATGAGATCAGTCAAGAGATGAGAGCTCACAAAATTCTTTCACAATGCAAAAGTACAAAAGGGCATCTCTTCATTTATTGAAAGAAGTTTCTGTGTCCTCGGGTGCTCAGATAATGTTTGCATACAAAATAAAGGTAGAGATTAAGGACGTGGGTAGGTAAAATTTGCAAAAAGAAAAATGTATAACACAAATTAGAACTCTCTAAAAAATCTATACAAAATTTGTATCTCTTGTCTTGAAATGACATGAAAACGAAACATACAGCATAATGAACTGTGGCTAGTTAGTAATGCTGAAAACTCAAAATAGTGGGAAATTTTTGAAAAAAGAAATCACAAACTAAAAAGAAAATTAGAGGGGCAGGAATGACAGTGCTGTGGCTTAAGCCACTGCTCAGGTCACCTGCATCCCCTGTCGGAGTGCCTGGGAGCAAATGCTGCCTCCACTTCTCATCCGCTTTCCTGCTGATGCAACTTAGAGGCAATAGAGTATGACATAGCTGCTTAGATCTCTGCCACAAACATGGAAAATCCAACCGAAGTTCCCAGTTTCCTCCTATCGCCTTGTGCAGACATGTGAGAAATGACCTAGTAGAGAGAAGATCTCTTTCCTTCTCTGTTCCCCCTGCCACCCTGTCACTCTTTCAAGTAAGTAAACATAAAAAGAAGAGAGAGAAAGAGAGAGAGAAATAAAGAAAGAATTGGAAATGTGAAGAAGAGTGTTACGGAGACCTGTTGGGCAATTGCATGGACATACCTCAGTCAGGGACTACCTATACGTTTTATACTAAGATGTGTGATAGCTGCTTGGTGTTCCCTTTTGGGGTGGCTCTCTTGCATTTTACTGGGTTTGTAGTCAGGAGAGAAATGAGGTCCTATACACCAAAAGCCAAAAATAGTCTATCTGATAATTGGAGTTTTGGGAATGCACCCTAAATCTATAATCTGAAGCATGGAAAAAGAACAAATGGCATGTTCATCATACTCTTATTATTTAAAATTGTAAAATATCAAAAGGAACCAAAATGGTGAAAATCTACCATCTGGAGTTCTGAAATAGTGCACAGTTGGATTAGAGCCAGTGACAATCCACAAGGGGTTGGGTTAGAGCCCTGAAACTGTAAATGCTTAGAAAGAAATCGTTTAAAAATGTTGGGCTAGAGTTCTTGAACATGTTCTCCCCTCCCCAGATTTCAAATTTCCCTACTGCCATTAAATTACTTATATTATAAAATCACTGAAAAGAGAGACAGTATTAAGAGAATAAAGTCCATTTTAGTTTTTATTTAATTATGGACTCAGGTGGAGGACAGTTACAGAGGTAAGCTTAACAAAAAAGGGGGGATTTTTTTTCCTGCTTCCTTTGAGTCTTTTATTTTGTTTTGAAAAGATGTTCAAAGCTCTTTTGCCTCAGAGACAATATAATTACAGGAAGGATAAGAAATAAGCAAGCAATGAATGTTGGAACATGTATTTATGTATTTGCTTCAAGATATCTGCCAGTCACTTCTCATTTAAGAGAATGTATAGTGATGGCGTAATAGAGGTAGTAGAGACCATCATATTCAGATGTGAAGATACGATGCAGTGTGCATCCCTACTTCCAAACTGAAGATGGACTCCCAATGAAACTGCTGGACAATGGGATGCTGGACTGTCTGACATTGTCTGTACCAGTAATGTCAGGACACAAATAACAGACTGATGGACTTGTGATGGTTTATGAAGGACTATATTATTGTAATAATATGGGGAAAATCAGCTGGGGGTGGGAACTTGGGGAGGGGGACAGAAATCCCAAATCCTATGGAATTGCATCATAAAATTTTAAAAAAAAGATACCTGCCAGCCAATTGATTTTCTTAAAGGATTGTAACATGAATGGAGTGCAGACCAGTATAATTACAATCCCATCTTAAGTTTGGATACAGTGGTATCCAAATACAGGCTTGGTATTGAATCTATCTTTTCTTTGGCTGGGTCTCCAGGAGCTTCAGATGAAACTGGGTGTGAAAAAGATCTGTTAGGAAGATCTCCAAGAAAGATAGAAGGGACAGAGGCCAAGCCAGGGCCTCAGGGGAAGTCCTCAAGGGTCACTTTGGCTTCATCACCCTAGGCAATAGATGGGAGAGGGCATAGCTCTCCGATCAGAGGAGCCCAAGGGTCAAGTTGTGGGCGCCATACCAAAACTGTCCCCTTGGAGAGGGAAGGGAGGAGAGGTGCTTCTGGTGCTGTGGCTGCTAGGAGAGTGGACTCCAGCCTCCACGCATAGCTCTGAGACAGACTTTCATCCTCTGGCTGCTGGGAATGCGAGTGCACCCCAGGGGAACACACACAGAGACGGTGAGGAGGTCCAGAAATATGACATCATCTGCTATATCCTAACTTCTAGCTGTGTGGTCTCTGGGACTAAAGTTTGGGGATTTGGGGCTTCAGTTTTCTCCTCTGTAAAATGGAAATGAACACAACCCATACTCTCAAAGATGGAATTGGAGGAGGAGAGAGGCAGGGAGAGAGGGAGTGAATGGGAGGAGAGGGAGAGTGAGGGAGAGAGAGAGGTGTGCTAGGGTGACTACACTGGAGGTTGAGGAGATGAACTAAAAGAAATAAAAAAGAAGACAAACAGATGCAGTGAAGTAACGTTTCTTAATTCAAAGATTCATTAATTTATGGATAAATACTTTCCATAAACAGTGATGGGAGAAAATTTAGGAGGCTATGCATTTATTGTCACACAATAGGATCA